CCTAGTTTGCCTAAATGGTAGCACCGGCCCTGCATATACTATTCCAGTAACAATCAAAGGTAATTGTCATCATAGCTTCAAAACCATGGTTGGCAGAGCTGTTGCAAACCTATGCCGTTAGTGACCTGCACTCCAGCTGCTTAAAGTGCTTGGGGGAAACTCATGTGAGGGACAAGTGCCAGATCTGTCGGGACTTCAGACCCTGCACTAAAAAGGACAGAGACATTAGGCTGAAGGTTGTCCTCATGGAAGCCGCCCTCAGATAAGTCTCAGAGCTGAGCCGCTCCGATTTGGCACTGAGTACTTTGGCATTGGTGCAAAGTGCTCCCTGGCATTGAGCTCTTCTTGCAGAGGTGCTGGAACTAGGGGTGCTGGGGGTGCTGCTGTACCCCGTGGCTTGAAGTGGTTTCCATTATATACGGGGTTTACAGTTTGGTTCAATGGCTCTCAGCACACACATCCAACTATAAAAATTGTTCCAGCACCCCTGGAGGTTGTGGAGAGAGTTTGGGAGGAATTATTAGGAGTGGAATTTTGGCCATTGTCAAGGGTGAGCATTGTTAAGGGGTGAGCACATCCCCTTGGGGCCCTACTAGTGCATTGCACTCAGCATCCCCTTGGGTTCTTTCAATCAAAAACCTGTATCTCCTTTCTGGGATCTGATTTATTAATTTCTTCTACATAGGATGACTTGCTTGTTAGTTGCCCCTGCACTGGGTCCCTAGAAAAGTCCTGGTCAGCTGTTCATGCTAATTCAGAAAGTTATTACCTCTCTACTTAAATAGGAGTGCTCAGCTCTCCTCCTTAGGGCTGGGTTATAATTTAGCCAGCTGAAAACTCGTAGCCAGCTGCTTCCTCAGCGGGCCCCTTTTTCCTCAATTAATCTTCAGGCTAAGAGGATCCAGCAGGCAGCCCTCTCTTCCTGGTGTCTGTCCTGTTATGAGGGAATAGCTAGCATATATGCTAGTCCCCATCTCAAATCCAGCTCATTCCCAATTGACTGGGTGAGATGGGAACCTGGCCACACCCTCTCTGCAAGGCTCCTGGCTCCAGGCCCCTAAAGATACAGTGATGAGATTTCGTCCCAAGCATCATTCATTCCTGGGACTGCTTCCTCTCTGTCTATATCCCCCTTAGGTCCTTATACTGAACATTTCAAACCTTTAAAGGTCCATGTCATGTAGCGGGATGGGCTGACCACTACGTGCTACTGCGTGTGCAGGGAAAACTACCCCGTCATCGCAATATTGATCTTGTGGGTACATAATGTAGTTTAATTTCCTACTTGACACATAAAATAGAGATATTATTTAGTGCTTACAGTAATCACAAGAAACTGACCTGTAAATACAGTCTTTCCAGAGGCTTAGGAAACACATTGCAGGTTATCTGTAGATGCTTGTGTTAAATGAAATGTGCAATAATTTGGGCTGGCTTCTTTTCATAACAGGAGCTCCAGTATGCACAGCGACAACGTTTCTCAAGATTGACTTCTATGATTACGTTTCCTAGCTCAATAGAGAGCTTAAGTGGTGGAAATGTTCCAAGTAGCGGTGGTGAGGGAGCGGAACTACCTGAGATTCAGGTACAGTACAGGAATTTTTGACTAGTTTGATCTACTTTTAAACATGTGATTTAGTTCTATGTAACTAATACTCATTTTCTAGAAGACACTGAAAATTCATTACTTTAGTTATTTATTGATTAAGTGCAAAATAGTATTTATAATACAGCTTTATTTTATAAAACATATTTTAAACAAGTTGTATCCCAACCACACTGTCCATGTTCCAACCTCATCCTCTTTCCCCTTATGCCCTGTCTAAATTAGAAATAATAACACAGCTTGTCTCCCAGCTGCTGAAACCATCTAGCTATCTCACTGAGAAGCTCCCAGCCCTGACCCTCTCCCCTCCCTCTTTTGATTAACCCAATTTCTAGGTGTCCTCCATCTGAAGAGTAGATATCCTCTTAAGGGGATGTTTTGATTCTCACAGGTTCAACTGGAATCTTCTGTTAGAAATTGCAGTCCAGGGCAACAAAAGGAATGTACATCCTCAGAAACAAGCCAATCACAGCAACTCAGTAGGGAGAGCACTAGCCAATCCCAACAGGCCTGGATGTCATCATCTGGAGTACACAGCTCCCTCCAGGATATTTGGCAGATTCTAGATATGGGATCAAGCCCTTCTATTCTCAGCCCTCAAAGCAACATAGATCAAGGTAAGCATGACTAGGAAAGAATTCACAGTAGGTCAGTCTTCTGGAGGAGTGAAGATACAATAGTAGATTCTCTCTATTTACACTAATTTTAGTATATAAGAGTGGTCCTAAAGTTACAGTCACTTAATTATCCATAAACCCAACTGTCATAGATGTTCCAGGAATTACTTAGATAACTGAATATTGAACAGTTAAGAGGAACACTAACACTTCTCCCCTGTATTATCATCCTTATTAAGAATACTCTTCCCCTCTTAATAAAACGATTAACTAGAGGAATATAATACCACTTGTCTTTATAGCAGAACTTTATTAGGAGAAGATACTAAAATGAGTCCTCAATAACTGAACAATTCAAATACTGTCATGCTGCTGTTGGAGCAGCATTGTAACTTGGTCAGTCCTTACAAAGCTATTACTTTGTGGCAGGTATACGCTCCTGTAATATTATTTATTATTTATTTGTATTATGGTAACAGAGACCCCAGCTGAGATCAGGGACCCATTGTGCAAGTTATCATACAAACATATAGTAAGGAACAGTCCCTACCTTAAAAATGTTACAGTTTAACTAGAAAAGACAAAACAGACAAAGGGTGGAAGGAGAAATAGAGGGACAGAGAGCTAATGCAAAATGGCCAAGGTTACACAACGGGTCAGTAGCAGAGCTGGGAATAACACCCATGTCTCCTGACTTCCAGCCCAGTCCCCTGTCCACTGGACCACACTGCCTCTCCATAACCCTACTATGCTAACAATTTATTGGCACAGATTTAAAGAAATCTCTGTAATTCTGAGGCACTGTGGATTAATGTTGCATAGTGTTTAAGGCCAGAAAGGTCCATCAGGCAAGATGATCTAAACTCCTGTACATCATAGACCATTACATTTCATCTAGATACCCCTATATAAAAGTCAGAGACTTTGGTTAGACCAAAACATTTCAGCCCTCAGGAGCCTTAACTATGTGTCACATGCTGAGCACAGGAGAAAACAAGGTGGCACCAATACCCAAGGTCCCTGCTGTGGCACAGAATTGATTGAGATGATCCCAGCAGGTGAACCATGCCCTTTGCTTCAGAAGAAGGTGAAAAATCCTCAAGATCCCAGTCATTCTGACCTGAGGGAAAATTCCTTCCTGATCCCAAATCTGGTAATCAGTATGATCCTGAGCATATGAGCAAGACAAGATGTGTGAGGTAATATCTTTTATTGGACCAACTTCTGTTGGTGAGACAGACGAGCTTTCGAGCTTACACACAGCTCTTCTTCAGGTTTGAAGAAACTAACTCCCAGCCATGCATCTAGAAAGAAGATCCTCTGTAACTTCTCAGGCCACTGGTCCATTGCTTGGTGTCCCATCTCCAGCTGTAGCCAATCTCTGATGCTTCAGAGGAAGGCAAAACTGAATACATTTAAGCCAATTGTACATCAGCTTAAAAAATTCCTTCCTGATCCATGCAGGCAACTGGCTGAAGCCCTGAAGTATGAGTTTTGATTATAGAACTGAAAGTGTTATGAGCCTATTGAGAGTGATGCAGGCAGACCTGTTCTCCCCATGGCCTTGAAGGAAGGGGAAGACTAGGGGAGACTCAGTCACAGATTCCAAAATCAGAAAGGACTATTATGACCATCCATCCTGCCCCCATGCACACAGGCCATAGAATTTCTCTTAGAAGCTTGATTAAAGTGTATCTTTTAAAAAGATATCTAATTTCTTCATAAAGTCTCTAAGCGATGGTGAATCCACCACCTCTCCCAGTAAGCTGTTCCAATGTTTAATCACACTCACTGCTAGGAAATTGTGTCTTATTTCAATGTTGAATTTATCTAAATTCAACTTCCAGCTATTGGATCCTGTTATGCCTTTGTCAGCAATGTTGGAAAGCCCCCCACCCCATCAGATGTCTTTTCTAGCTGTAAGTGCCTATGTGCAGCAACTGAGTCACCTTTCAGCTGTATCTTGGATAAGCTGAGCTCCCTAAACCTCACATTTTAAGCAGGGCCGGTGCAACCATTTAGGCAAACTAGGCTGCCGCCTAGGGCGCCTAGTGGTTGGGGGCACCTAAAAGCCCGCTCAGGCGAGGAGGTGGAGTGGAGGTGAGCTGGGGCGGGGGGGGGGCGGCGCGGGGAGGGCCGCCCGCAGTAACGGGGGGGAGGGGTGCACAGGGGAACTGCTCCCCGCCCCAGATCACCTCCACTCTGCCTCCTCCGCTGAGCACTCAGCCCCCGCTCTAACTCTCCTCCAATCGGCGCCGCAAGCCTGCGAGGGGAGGAGAATTAGAGCAGCACCGGCGTGCTCAGCGGAGGAGGCGGAGCCGAGGTGAGCTGGGGCAGGCTCCCCAGACGGGGTTAGCTTCCGCATGGGGGGGACTCCCCAGGCGGGGTTAGCTGCCGTGGAGGCGGGCTCCCCGGGTGGGGTTAGCTTCCGCAGGGATGGGGTGTCTCCCCGGGCGGGGTTAGCTGCCGCGGAGAGGGTGTAGCTGCTGCGGGGGGGGGGCTCCCTGGGTGGGGGGGGGGGCGGGGTCCCCGGGTGGAGGGCTGGGTTAGCTGCCGTGGAGGGATGGGGTTA